TACATGTTTATATAAATATGAGTGAAGAGCTTCATTACATAGATAACTAACAAAAATTTCGTTTCTTGAATCTTTGAACTCAGTCATAAATGTTATTTATATCAAATGACGAAATCCATTACAATTGGCTCCATGATTCAGACTGGAGGTTCAATTCCTATCTTTGTTCGGGTTTTTTAAGCCCGGATTTTCTTTTTACATCAAAATTTTGTAGTTTTTAATTGTAATTCGTTTTTGCTTTTTATGTTAAATGTACATTTTCCCCCGTAACTTAATGGGGATTAATTAATCTTTTCATTAATGAAATAAAATCTGTACAGCTTAAATTTGCAGCAGTATACATATATTTTCCCGAAATATAGGATTTTTCAAAAAAAAAATCAAATTTTTTGAAGTTTTTGAAATCTTTTTGCGGAGCGCAAAAAATTGTTTGGGGAGGTTTTTTTTGCTAAATTGGGAAAATTATTGATTTTCTTTTGGAGAAAAAATAAAAAAAATTTCAAATAAAAAATTAGACATCAAAAGACATCTGCCAAATTATCAAAAATTTATTACTCGTGGTAGGGGGGGGGTATAAATTTATTTTTAATTAATCTATATATAAATTTGGCTTGTCTGTCTGTTACACCTCAACTAAATCAAGTTTTTAAAATACGGAAACGCCTCAAAAATTTTGCGGAAATGCCTCAAAAATATTGGGAAATCCCTCAAAAATATTGGGAAATTCCTCAAAAATAATTGTCAGGTGAAAGGCGGAAACCCCTCAAAAATTTTAGGAAACGCCTCAAAATAAAGAGGAAACCCCTCAAATACTGGGTTTTGAGGGATTTCCGTTTTTCTTGCAGAAATTGCGGAAACGTCTCAAAAAAACCGGTTTTTGAGGGGTTTCCGCTTTTTTTTGAGGCATTTCCGTGTTGAGACGTTTCCGTGTTGAGGCGTTTCCATAGCACCTTTATTGGCAATATTCTTTGTTCTTCATTAACAAGTTTTTTTTATAAAAAATGCAGACAAATAACTTTTTCGACAATTTTCTTTTGTTTACATTAAATAAATTAACATTAGTTTTAAACTGAGTTCTTTCTAGTTCTTTTTCTCTCTATAAATTTGACTAGCCTGCTGATTTATTTGTTTGTATCCAAATAATATTACTATTAAGGGTAACGAATATCACACAAAGGAAAATGATATATCAAAAATTTGCCAGAGAAGATTTTTATTTTTTTATTTTTTGGGAAATCCACCAGTGAAAACATTGAAATCTGCGAAATTCTAAATTGTTTTTTTTCATAACTTATAAAAATTTGTTGCGGTTAAAGTATTATTTTAAGACTAAAATTATTTCTAGAAAAAAAATTGAGTGTTTGCCACAAACTCTGATTTTCTAATCTCTATATCTTTTCAACCCAATGACGTAGACCTTACATATTTCAAACTATAAATTCTGTTAGAGAAAACAATCAAGTTTGAAATGATAAAAGGCTTACACCATCAGTTTGCAATGAGGAAGAGATTAGAAAATTTGAGTTTGTGGCAAAGAATTCCATTAAGCACAGTTTTGATTAGACTTTGGGAAATGATAGTATTGATCCTTCTAATATCCTTCACGTGGAGCATCTAGATAAAGAAACTACTCAACAACAAATCCTGAAAGCTATTTCAAATACGAAACTTCGCAAACCCACAGATATCCGTATAGTGAGAAGAGCAGAAGATGCCTCCGCTTTCCTAGAATTTAGCTCTGTCCTAGCCGCAGAGCAGGTTCTTCAAAGGTTCAGACACTCTATGTTCTCAGAGAAGCAAAATATGAGTTTTTTAAACCTTGGTGTTAAGAAAGGTAATGTTGGATTACAATTTTAAAAGTTTTATATTTTCATGATAAGTATTAAAAATGCTTTTTAATAAACACTTATTAAATCGAACAAAACTATCATTATGGAAAAATTCTATCGTTTATATCCAACTAGATGAAGGGCCTGGCGTTGCCCGTGGAAAAAAATAATTTTAAAGAAAAAAACGTTTTAAAAAAAATTATTTCGAATTTGTTTAGTCTACAACACCCCTTGACAACCTATGAGTGTCCACAAAAAATTTCAGTCTAATCTTTCCAGCCGGTTAAGCGGCTATACGCAACACATATATTTACGAATGTCTTGTTTTATTATATAGATATTTAATTGAATCCTGAACACAAAAAAGCAAATCAAGATGATGGGATCCGTTCTATTTTATTTAGTTTAGATTAATCTTATTTTAATTTAGATAAACCCGGAGCCGGAGGGAACAAAGAGTTTGTTTTTATTTATTTTCAAAACTCCGGAACCCGGATCTTGAACCTTACCCTTACCAGCTCCAGTAGCGAGATAGATACAGAGTTTAAAAATGTCAAAGATATTCCGTCCTATCTGGAGCAGTTTAGTCCTGGAACAGAACTAGGTATCCTTTCCAATATAATTTAGAACCTCTTCAGGATTATTTACGGGAATCTTAAATCTTGAATTTTTGGTTTATCTTTTACGTTTAAATTTGACGAATTTCAAACTCCATGATCCTAGGAAAACGTTATTTTTAAATTCGCTTTGGCTTTACTTATTAAAGACGACCTTGGACGTTTCTCAAGGGTTTTTTGATGTTACTTTAGAAATTTCTTCAAATTAAACCAACTTATTATAATAACAATTCTAATTTTGTTTAGTTGCTGTGTTTGTGTGTGTTCATTCCTTTGAAATATTCCAAGTAAAGAGTGGGAAGCTTCTGGAAGACTTTTTCTCCTCCTGGACGGATCTTAACACTCTGACAATGGGACGGTTTGATCCCTCCTTTCTCAAGCATATTTCCAAGGATGAATCCCGTCTTGAGGATTTGTTTTCCGAGGAGTTTGATGAACCCTTCCCTGAATCTGAACCTGGATCTCACATTATGAAAAGATTGTTTAGCAAATTTAAATCTCCGGAGAAATTTCTTAGTTACATCCGGCTCCCGGTATCTCCATATTTAGTTGCAGTGATTGATGTTGGTTTAGTGAAAATATCAACATTGGACGGAGATTACTCCGTGCTAGGTAGTATAGCTGTACATGGGGACGGGTTAGATGGATCAGAATGGAGCTGCGGGGTTGATCTTTCTTCTTACTCCGGCAGAATAGAACCACAGTCAGCAGCAAGGTTGGAATTAGTTTTTAAGCTTTTAAAAATTGTAGTTTAATTGTCTTACAGTTTAAATCTTAAGGTTGGAATTGGAACAGTTGCGGAGTAAAAGCTGGATGTATGGAACTGGAAAGGAACGTGTTCCTTGCATCCCGGAGAAAGATGCTCTGGATGAACTGCTCCGTATATTTGAATCCTCTCTGAAATCCCAGGACGGAACGGGCGGAGTTATCCTTGTATCAGTTCTAGATGATGATAGTTTGGTGTATCTGTTTGCTGGGATGAGAAGGAACGGATTGATGAAGAAGTTTTTAGATCTTATTTCAGGTTTCTCCAATCTTCAAACCTTGTTTAAGAAGAAGGAAGTTTCCAAGAAAATCTTTAATCTCAAGTTCCTGGATAAATTTGCTAGAAGTATTCTTCCTGATCTTGAGCCTACACGCCTAGAGAAGGCCCGGAGTAACGTCCTGGCCAAGGTTGGGTTTGCAACCCTGAAACATATTCTCCGGACTGAGTTAGAAAATAATCAGTTCTCATCAAACTTCGCTTTTCCTATTATGTCAGGTATCAAGATATTTATAAGAATACCTTCTCAGCAGTTTTTCTTTTACGAAAACATGAGTTATCATTCATTTCAAAAACAAAATTTTTCTCCAAAGTCCGTGATTTAATTTTTACAATTAAAATACTTTTTAGGCGAATTTAACAAATTGCTCGGAGAAGCAATAAAGAAACCAGAGCTGAAGATATTTGATGAACAGTACTTAGAATTACACCTGGAGCGTTCTGTTTCTCTTGATCCTGACAAGGTTTCCCTGGTTTCTCTCCTTATAGTACCCGGAGTCAGAGACAACAACAACACATTGTTTGACATTCTGCCGTTAAGTGAATCCAGAACTGAATTGTTTCAGATTAAAACTTCTCAACAGAGATCAAACACTTCTGGAGTTCTCCTTGTGAAAGTTAAGAACATTACCAAGAATAAGGTTAGGTTACCGAAAGGAATGCTTTTTGGCTTAGTTGAACAAGCAGAGGAGGATTCAAGCTCCTTAGATGAACAAACCATCTCAACCCGCAGTGCTTTTGTTAACCTGGAGAAGTTATACATCCAACCTAGCTCAGAGGATTCTGAAACATCAACGGATAGTTTAAATGAGATCCTGAGTGAGGATAATACTGCTGAACAGGTTGGGCTGAGATCCGAGGTTAGTGTGGAGAATAAGTCCGAGGCTTTGGACGTAGACCTGGAGTTCATGGCCTCCACGGCATCAGAGTTTCTGGCGAATGATGATTTATTTAAGGAGCTTTCTGGTCACCTTACTCCGGTCCCACCCATAGTAGATAACTGGGAGGAACTGAACCCAACCTTTACATCCTTCAATATTGATTCCAACCTAGATGTTGAGGGGATGGAAGTACTAGAAGAAGATCTCTCTCTGGTGCCAGATTTACCTATCTTTGATCAGTTCTCCTCCCAAGACAAAATACTGGAACCTACCGTTTCCCCTGATTTTCTGGAGATCAGTATTGAACCTAAATCTTTACACCAAATCTCCGAATCACCTGAGATTACTGAAGTACCTAAACCTTTGACAGACCTTCAAGCAACCCCTGAAAATATGGATATGGATATTTCAGAGCTTGCTCCCCTCACACTATCTACTAAAGTATCCAGAGAGAGAGAACCAATCCCGATTGACGAGCTTAAACCTCTTGTTCCTCAGTTGAAAGTTATAAAGGAAAAGATAAAGAAAAATACATTTCAGGGTGATCTTTCCGACCAGTTCCCCTCCCTAATGGGTGACACAGAGTACACGCCGTTGTTTGCAACCATGATACAGTACACTGGGTGCAGACTGGAGGACATAGATTACGATTTTCTGGATTTCGGAGAACGATTCTACAGTGAAATATTAAATTTTGGAATTGAAAGTTTGGAAGAGTTGTTTGTGGAAACTAATAAATTGCATGAGATGAACAAGAACGCCGTGTTACAGGACTGGGTTGCCGCGTTCTCCGACAGATTTTACTGCTTGAAGGATATTAACGACCTGAATGGAGATAACTTTGATGTCAAAGTTGTTCAATGGATGGTGCTTCATTTCTGTGATAGGTTGGACACCCTGGAGTCGGAAAATGAAATTAATCCTGGATTGAGAGATATGATTGGATATTCGTCCTTTGATGGAATTGATATTGTTGAGTTGGAGTTATCTACAGGTCCTGCTAGAACAAACAAGAATTTAAAACTTGTAACTAAAGAAGAAAATATTTTTAAACCTATTTCAACTGAAGATACTGATAAAATAACTGAGGTTGTTCCAGAAGTTGCTGAAGAAGTTATTCCCTTGGAGTCAAGTATAAAGGAGCACCTGGAGTTTAAATTATCTTCAGACCATATGGATGCGTCGTCCTCTATTCTACAGAAAACAACGTTTTTATCAAATGAACCAATGTCTAAAGAATCTGAGAAAGACAGGAAATCCATGGAATCTGAAGAAATTAAGATTTTAGCAGAAAATATTATGACAGAGAATTCTGTTACTGTAATACTAAATAGTTTCAAAGAAGATGAACAGAAGAAAACAGACTCCGAACCTCATCCACCTAAATCTGTTTTATCTGTTATCCCTGAGAAAACCAAACCAAGTCTTGGTAAGGAACTAATCACCACCAATAAAGCAACAGAAATTGAAAATAAAAAGGTTTCTCTTCATGACAACCCAGAGAAGATTCCTTCTCTTAAGACTGAAATCAAGAAGAAATCCTCGGAAAAATCAAACGAGACCTCCCCCATAAAGGTTAAGATTAAAACAGCAACAACCACTCTGAGTCCGCAAAAGCCTTTAATTGTCTCATCTCAATCAACAAATCCCTTGATAGAGAAGAAAACTAATCCTACCAATTCTAAATCAAAGATGAATTCTCCTTCCAAGACGGGAAAGATTTCCCCCACGGAGAACGAACGCAAACCAATTACTAAAAAGAGTACACCCCCAAAAGCAGAAAAGAGTAATGATGATAAACAATCCTTAAAGAGTATTGAAAAGATATCTAAACCATCAACTTCGCATCAAAAGAGAGTTATAACTTCCTCTCAATCTCAAAAGATCACTGCGCCTTTAGATCCTGACGAGGACTTCTGCGATCTTTTCCTTGGTGTAAAAATGGACGCCTCCAAGACAGAGTGCAGCGTTATGATCTTCAACGATGAGTTCCCGACCAACGCCGTTTTCTCGGCCAGGAACCTTTATATCCACGGTCTTCAGGTACAGGAGGATGCCGATGTGGAAAAGCTGTTGAAGGGTAAGGGTGAGGATCAGGACTTGATCCTGGTCCATATCCCCCGACTCAACAAGGATGGAATATCCACTAGTGAGGTTTCTATCCCCCTCTCCTCCTGGGACGATGGAAAATTCTTCTTTAGTGGATTTGTTATGTATCATGAACCAAAGGTAATTGTAAAAGGAAAAGAGAATTACAAAAAAGTAAATACAAAATCTATCAAACCATTTGAAACAGATCTGAAGAACTAAAGAGGTCCGAGACAGAAACATATTTTGAACCAATGCAACCCCTACTTATTTGACTTGATAAGGTTTTGATTATCATTAACTCGAAATTCTAAATCTAACCCTTTTTCTGATGATTTCATTGATATGATTTTTATCTAAATCTATGCGTAGTAAAACATATCTATTTAGGATAAGTACTGTGTTGCTTTTGTGAAGGAGAAGTTCATCCACACTGCTATTGTGCCGCGTAACAAAATTAAAACATTCGACAACGCGGAGAACTCTTTAAACCTTGAACCCGGCCTCGAGGTTAAACTTATGGTCAAGGTTAGATCTGGAAAGATTTCTCCGGCGGACGGAGTTGAATACAGAGCTACTCTGTGTATCCCGAACCCGGATAAGAAATATTATGATATGGTGGAGACGACTAATTGGGCAGAGAAGACTAGGAGACACATGTCTGACCCGGATACTTTGCAGGATCTTGGTTAGTTTTTAATATCTAGAAATGAATAAAAATAAAAACTGTGGAAAAATAGTTCTTAGTTTTAAATACAGTTTTATAACTTAGATTTTTAAAAACAATAGTGATGGTATTTCATATTGCATATTGCAAGACTAATAAAATCTATGACAGCGAAGTCGTGAAAAGAAGGACGTCCCTTAAGTCTGATTTGGTTTCGACCCACTCTGATATATTTTCATTTATTATATTAAAAAAGTCCGTTATGCCAGGGGGGGGGGTCGGGGATTTTTATATCTTTTATTTACCGTAACTCAGGAAAACCTTGTTAAGATATTTAAATCAATTATTTACCAAATTGTATGTTTAGAGGATAGTTTGAGTAAGCGGGTAGTGTTTATCCCGGTATTGGAGAAGAATCGAACCTTCTTCCTGGTTCGGGCCAAGGATAGAAAATCCTGTATAGATGGTTACAATAGGATCATGGAAACTAAAACAGTCTTTGAACAATTTCCAGGTAAAAAAAACAAAGGTCTCAGCATACTTCTTCTCACACTTCTACCGAAAGATTTAAGTACTGGCAAGAATTTTATTTATAAATAATTTTTTATGTTATCTAGGAAACCGACCCAAGTACCGCGCTGCACTAGAGGTATACATGGATTCTCTCCCCCTTGCTAGTTCTGTTCAGCCTGCAGGGTTAACCCATCTCCAGCTAATAGCTCATTACACAGGGACTACCCTCAGACTCCAGGAGAATGAAATCGCTATAGAAGGTTACTCTGACTCCCTGGTTTCACTGGCAAAGAGAATTCTCGGTTATAACATCGGAAAATCTAATCACAATGTTGTAGAGATGGGTTCGGTTGTTAGCACTACAGAAACCAAGAAACCTGCTTACAGGAAACCTTCTCCGGTTCCGGGACCAATAACGATTTGCCTGGACGAAGTAACTTCAACTACAGGCGGAGACTTAGTAGAGTCAACTCCGGCAGTTGAAACAAGTACTCCGGCACACAAGAATGATACTAGATCAGAGCAGATTGATGTGCTCACTGTGCCGGATGAGGAGGAGGAGACACTCCGACAGATCTTCTATGGAACCAAGAACCAGGATTATATTGAGCTGAAGCTAGGGAAGAAAATGACTGTGGGACCTGGAGACGAGAGATCCTTGTCCCTCAGCCTGAAGCAGAAGTTGACGAAGAAGTACATCTTACACACACATTTCGAGTTCGAACAGTTTCAAGACAAGTTGGAGCTTGTACTGGAACTCATCAACGGAACTAACGTTCTTGTGGATTTGAAAAATATAAGTTCTGCTCCAGTATCACTGGAGGCAGATCAGAATATTGTTTTGCTAGAGGAGAGGATTCCTAAGGCGACACTACCGGAGAAGAAAAAGTTCAAGAAATCTCCGATCTTGGTGAAGAAAAAAGTTTCAAGTTTAGGAGGAATAAAAAATCCGGCCACGGTGAATGCAAACCTTAAACCTCAGACGGATACAAGACTTGAACCTGGATCATCTAAACCTGAACCCCAACCTTCTCCCGTCAAACCTAGCGCAGAGGTTCAATCTGGAGAACCTACCAGCCTGAGACGGTATAATGTCAAGCTGCAGGAGAGTATTGAGATACCAAGTAAGAACGTGAGCTATGCCGAGGTTCTGGTGGAGAACGGAGACGATCATGTTTACGGAAAAGTTCATGAGATTATCCGTCATCCGGATTTTAAAAGCAGCGCAATATTTATCCCGGAGCGACAGAAGAAGAAGATTTGTCGAGACGAGAAGCTCCACATGAGTATCCGGAACAGGTTGGATATAGCTAAACACCTAGTCAAGGGGAAGGTTGTCGGTCAGATCATTGTCAGGGTTAGGTCTGGTAAGAAGAGAGAGAATGAAACTAAATCCGAAATAACGACAAAGAAACGAAAACTGAGCGAGGAAGACGGTAAAATCTCTCCTACTCTAACCAGACCTGGAGCTAAGGGAACAGAGAAGGATAAGAGTAAAATACTTGCTTTGTTTAAACAAGCAATCATTGAGAATCCGAGTACTCTTACTGCAACCAAGGTTCAAGATGCATCTGGAGTAAAAGCGATAGAACTAGATGGAGAAGGTATTTTCAGGTAAAACCACTTTGTTAAAGATTTTAAACTTAAAATGACTTACTAATATTAAGGGTAAAGTAAAACTATGGGGAACTTTGAAAAAAAATGATGTAGTCCATCTTGCACCAGTGCTAAATATTTCTTTGGTAGAATTCTTTATATTTGAGATTTTTTGTAATTTTCAAACTCATTCAGATTTTTGCTTTTTTGTGCAATTCAATTCACTAACGTAAGCGCGAATAAAAGATTGTCAAAATCAACGAAGATGGATATGAAAATACCCGTATTGAAACACTGAGTTCAGAAATGTCAAAATCTTAAAAATCGCTTGAAAATTATAAATATGAATAAGTTCTAAGTATGACAAAATTAATGAAACAATTATTTAAATTTCGAAATATCCATATCAACATTCAACATGTTTAAAAACATTAAAAAATCTACTTACCGCATGATTTATGTTTTTTATTTCGTTAATTACTGAATGAGTTTTTATATTTTATTTCTGTCTTCGGTTGCCTCTAATTTACGTCTGTTTAAATTTTTGATGGCGTAAAAATGATTTTACATTTTTGATGAAATAGTAAGTTTCTATCTTATACTAGGTCTTATATTTAGTTTTAAAATACTTAGAAAACATATTATTTGCAATCGTTTCAATATTACTAATACATTAATGTTCAGTGGTGAGAAGAAAAGTTGTGAAGACCTGCCGAAGAATCGGTGTAATCATGTTGACCTGAAACCCCAGGCCTGTAAGGTAGGTTTGCTAGGAAACCAGTGTTCTGTTCCTGGCTGCCTATCCTCCCTCCAGCACACCTTCAGTCAGGAGTTCATTAAACTACGCAACTCTGAATACTGTATGGATTATCTAACTAAGAAAGTTTGCGCTAAGAGTTTCCCTCCGTTTGTTTGTCCCGCCTTGAACCATGTTTACGATGTAAACAATATTTGTAGGTTTTACGAGTCCTATGTGGAGAATAGCAAGGAGAAATGTGAAAATTGCAAGAGGTTGGAGGCTGAGAAAACAGCTACATCATCTCAACCACCCGGAGAAGTAAATCCCAAACCTGCAGACTTAGAGACTGAGAAAGGACCTAAATATGGAACTGAGACTGAGGATCCAGAAAAGAAAGCAGTCAGCACGGATGATGATGATATCGAGATCATTGATAAACCTGAACCAGTCGTAGAACCTGGTCTCAGGATGAAATGTACTCATATCTCCCTGAATACCCAGATATGCCCGGATATAGGACACTGCAACACTAAAGGTTGCCAGGCTGCCCACAGTATAAACTCCATCCTAAATATCCGCTATTGTATGGACTACTTGAGAATTGGATGTTCTAAACTAAACTGTTTCCCCCACTACACTCCATCTCAGCTCCAGAAAGCGTATATCCTCACTCTCAAGGAAACTGTTCTCAACTGTAAGAAATGCTCGTTTAACTGCAAGCTCTTTAATCCAATGGATAGACGATACAGGCAGGATAGAATATGTTATAAAGAATATACAGCCAGCTGTCGGAGGAAATCCGAGTGTAATTTTATTCATTTCTCCGAGGTTCAACATCTTAAGATGCCTCCTCCTTGCAAAACATTTGCCTTGAAGGAATCCTGTCCCCGGAGAGGGATGGAGAAGGGAGTTGTTCATCTTACACATCAGAAATATCAGAATAATTTGCAGGGAATCCTTAAGAAGAACGAACGAAGGTGTTCTCTGTGTCAGGACGAGCTGAAGGAGGGGTGGAGACTGTTCAGAGAGAACCTGGAGAAGTTTGAATCCCCAAGTAGGGTTGAAGCCGATTCTTCAAGAGACCCTACTTCTATCCCCGAGTCCTTGATCGCTCCAACAATTAAACCTTTAGAAAACAATATGACGCAAAATGACCAGGAAACCAGGAACGTTGGAGACCTTAACCCAGGGATCAAATCCCTAGGTAATGAAGAACTGGATCCCAAATCTGACTTGAATCCAGTCAACAAAGAAGCAGATAAACCTGGGAATTTGCCAGAAATGATTTCCCAAAATTGTGGAAATGTCCAGGAGAATAAACAGCCCGCTACACGGGAATTAAGGCCGGAGAGGAAAGAACCAACTAACACTATTGAACAGATGGAGAACATCAAGCACATGGAGAAGGTTCAACATCCAACCCTTGTAATAGATTATAATATAGTAGGTGCTGTTAAAACAACATCTTTAACCACTGGTAAGTCTTCTTCTGTTCCACCTACAAACGTGGTTCCATTGTCAATAAAAGAGGCAGCATCCACAGCAGCTACCAAGGCAATTGCCCCATTAACAGCTAAGGCAAATATCCCATCAACGGATAAGATCATTGCTCCACAAATGGCCAAGGTAATTGTCCCATCAACGGATAAGACAATTGACCAACCAACGGCCAAGGTAATTGTCCCATCAACGGCCAAGACAATTACCCCACCAACGACCAAGGTAATTGTCCCATCAACGGAAAAGCTACCAGCTCCATCAACGGATAAGGGATCTGCCTCGTTAACGGCCAAAACAATTGCTCCATCAATGGATAAAGCAATTACCCCATCAACTGAAAAAAATACGCCACATCAAACTAATATCCTTATTCAAACTGAAAAGAAAACACTCCCAATAGCTGAGAAGACCACTGTAAAGGAAACACCCCCAACTACTGGAAAGTTAACGCCCCCATCTACTGGAAAGGTAACACCCCTGACTACTGGAAAGGAAACGCCCCCAACTATTGGAAAGGCAACACCCTCAACTATTGGAAAGGAAACGCCCCCAACTACTGTAAAGGCAACACCCCCAACTATTGGAAAGGAAACGCCCCCAACTACTGGAAAGGAAACGCCCCCAACTACTGGAAAGGAAACGCCCCCAACTACTGGAAATGCAGCACCCCCAGCAACTCTAATGGTAATGCCCCTAGCAACTAATAAAGATATTCCCCTTCAAACATGTAATAATACACCCATGCCATCTGACAAGACGTTACTAACCACTTCAGAAAATCATCCTTCAAGTATTATGAATGCTAACTCATCATGGACTGCTAAATCAACTCCACAATCTTCATGGACATCCAATTCTCCATGGCTTCAAACTTCGTCATCATCATCCTCATGGCCAGCTAATTCTTCATCATCTCCTTCATGGTCTTCTTCATCTTCATGGGCTGCTAATTCCCAGCAATCTACTGGTAGAGTTCCAGCCCCACCCATCTCTCGACCGCTTCCTCCCTACTCTGGACATAATCTACCACAATCCACAACAAAAACTACCCTCAACTCCAACCAAGGACGTGTGCCTGGAAGACTCCCTGAGAACCGTCCTGGATCCTACCAATCGTATCCGAACTATGATGAGTCTAGGAAACGAAAGGTGTGTCCCTACTTTAATTCCATCTCTAAGTGTAAGAGGGGAAATCACTGTCCGAACTATCACGATTTATCCCTGAAAACCTGCAGATTCTGGGCAGCCGGACACTGCTCATACGGAGCCAGGTGTAAAAGTAAACATTAAACTTTTTCAATTCACTTGTGTATTTTTTACCTTGGATCACACCTCACATTTTACATCTTAAACTAATCTGTAATCACGCTTCGCTCACCTAACTTGACAACTATGATGTGATATTGTTGTAGACCTGTATTTTTAAATAAATTTCCTTCTTACAGGATTGAATCCTGGGTACTATTACGTTAAGTAAAAGGTTTTAAAAAAAAAATTCTTGTTTGGAATTTATGAAGAGTGAGTTATCTATTTCTACAGCGTGACCCGCTTAATATGACATTTTCTTGGTAAATAGAGAACGAGATTTAACCAAATTTCACCAAATTTACCAGAAGATTAACAAAGCAAAAAAATGACCATTTTAGGAAAGTAAAAGACGATTGTCTCAAAAAGAACAGATAAACATATTATTTTTGGGGTTAAATGGGATTGTTGATATTATATAACATTAAATCTTTTGTAAACACCGAATATCTTTCTCATTTTTAAGATGCAAGGACACAAAACGACACTTCGTAAAACCCTTTTAAATACATTAATTGTCCTTATTTAGCTAGCTACGGAAAAAATTATTTTTCTCTGAATATCCCTGTATTCTGTCTAGTATTCTCCGAATATCTCTGTATGTCCAGTATTCTCTGAATGCCCCTGTATGTCCAGTATTCTTTGAATATTCCTCTATGTCTAGTATTCTCTGAATATCCTTGTATGTCCAGTATTCTCTGAATATCCATGTATGTCCAGTATTCGCTGCATATCTCTGTAGGTCTAGTAATCTCTGACAATCCCTTTATGTCTAGTACTCTTTGAAAATTCCTGTATGTCTAGTATTCCCTGAATATCCTTGTATGTCCAGTATTCTCTGTATATTCTTGTATGTCCAGTATTCTCTGAATATCCCTGTATGTCCAGTATTATCTGCAGGGTGGCCAAAATGTACGGATTGTACGGATTGATTTTTTTTTAACCCTAAAATTGTACGGATTGTACGGATTTGTTTTCAAATTGTACGGATTTTTATCCTGGAAAATACACCGTTTTTTTAAATTTTCACTCATTTCAGCAAATTTTTCATGAAAATTGAAAAAAAAAATTCTTGTCAAAATGAAGTTAGTTTAACTTATTTCTGCATTCTAAATAATATTAGATTGATTAATGTTTCAATTGACAATCAAAATTCATTCATAATTTTTCGAGATATGTCCAAGAAGTGTTTATTTTAGAATATGTTCCATAAGTACTTATTTGATTGCTTATTCAAGAAGATGTTCCAGTATCCTGTACCCAGTATCCTATTCCCAGTATCCTGTACCCAGTATCCTGTACCCAGNATCTAGTATTCGCTGAATATCCCTGTATGTCCAGTATTCTATGAATATCCTTGTATGTCTAGTATTCTCTGAATATCTCTGTATGTCCAGTATTTTCTGAATATCCCTGTATGTCCAGTATTCTTATGTTAGCTATAGCTGGCCAAACGGCGAGACCGAATGAGCTCAATTTTTTTGAGGGAACCCATGGATGCCGGGGGAGTATCAATTGGCTAAAAAATTTCGTCTTTTTCAAAAATAAAAAAAATCTAATATTCTCTTCAAAAATAACATTTTTTCTTCCATTGGCAACTTTTGGCACTTCTAGCTAGTAACCTATAAGGAGGGCAGGATTGACTAAACGATTGTACGGATAAGAAAACCTTCTGTTTTTGTTCTGTTCTCGGTTCATGTTCTGAGTATAGTTGAAGGGTTAGGTGGAATATAAAGGGGTTTATTAAGCTCCATATTACAATCATTACAATGGTGAGAATAGGAATGGTAGCTATGTATGCTAGGAATGTCAGCTGTTTCAATCAGGGATTCTCATTCTAGTGCTATGGTTAAACAATATTTATTGATTCAAATAAATATTTAATGTACATTGTTGAATTTGATATCAGATATGTGCGTACATATTACCCCTGTTTTGAGTTTATTAGTTTATGAGCGTAAAATACAATATTTCATTTCTTCGAGTCATGCATGTCATGCATGCCTTATATGGTGTGTAAAATTATAAAATTTAGTTATTAAATTGTCATGAGGTGGCTGAACACCTCTTCTTGATGGTTCGATACAAAGAGATTAGAAATCAGAACAGACATTTCATTTTTTATAACTTCATAAATCTGTAAAGGTCCAGGATAATAAAAAATTTAATGATATCGCAAACCATTTTAAACCTACATATAATAAGGGGCTATTTAGACATAATTTCATGAAATCCACCATTTTTAATCTTATATTAAGGGGCTATATAGACATAATTTCAAGAACTCCTCCATTTAAATCTATAATAAGGGGCTATATAGACGTAATTTCATGAAATCCACCATTTAACCATATAATAAGGGGCTATAAAGACGTAATTTCATGAACTCTTCCAAACCTATAAAAAGGGGCTATATAGACGTAATTTCATGAACACCTCCATTTAAACCTATAATAAGGGGCTATAAAGACGTAATTTCATGAACTCTTCCATTAAAACCTATAATAAGGAAATATATATATATATAGACGTAATTTCATGAAATCCACCATTTAACCCTATAATAAAGGGCTATAAAGACGTAATTTCATGAACTCTTCCATTAAAACCTATAATAAGGATATATATATATATAGACGTAATTTCATGAAATCCACCATTTAACCATATAATAAGGGGCTATAAAGACGTAATTTCATGAACTCTTCCATTAAAACCTATAAAAAGGGGCTATATAGACGTAATTTCATGAACACCTCCATTTAAACCTATAATAAGGGGCTATAAAGACGTAATTTCATGAACTCTTCCATTAAAAGCTAAAAGGATATATATATATAGACGTAATTTCATGAAATCCACCATTTAAACCTATAATAAAGGGCTATAAAGACGTAATTTCATGAACTCTTCCATTAAAACCTATAATAAGGATATATATATATAGACGTAATTTCATGAAATCCACCATTTAACCATATAATAATGGGCTATAAAGACGTAATTTCATGAACACTTGCATTAAAACCTATAATAAGGATATATATATAGACGTAATTTCATGAAATCCACCATTTAACCATATAATAAGGGGCTATAAAGACGTAATTTCATGAACACTTCCATTAAAACCTATAATAAGGAGATATATATATATATATATATAAATAAACATAATTTCATGAAATCCACCATTCCATCATTTTAAACGCTCTATTTTAAAGTCCATGACCATGGTTTATTATCTATGCACGAACAGACCTTTTTTTCAATTTTACTCCGTATAATCCTTTTGTGAATCAATATACAGTGTGTCGCACATAATTTCGGATCGTTTATTGCTCTAAATTACGATTTCGGGACTAATCAGAAAGTTCAAAAAGTATGACTCATTTTAAAAAATTTGTACACGCCGAATATAAAAATTTGCTTCGAGTATTATGTGCGTATTTCAGCGTTGAATCTTTGAGCTAATCCAATATGATATGGGACGGGGTGTATCACATCGAGCGGTTCTAATTGAACGTTCTTTGGGTTGGTTTTATTAGTGCTCCTTCTCCACCTAGATACCTTTATACAGGAGCGGAGATAATCCTATCTCAGGGATACATTCATTCACACAACAAATATTATTCAGATGTTTTATGTTTTAAGCTAGGAAATCATGAGGGATAGATTTCAGAAATGCATGCTTAAAGAGACTGTAAGCGTAATTTCAAGTGACCTTCCATGCAAAAATGGCAATGCCCGATTTGCAACGGTATCCTTGAAACCTTAATCTGCTCAAATATGTGAAAGATACTGTCGTTTGTTTACTTGGAAAAGTGTTTTATTTCTGTGAGTTTATCCATTGCTTGTTATAAACAATAAATGCGCAAGTCACTTTCACAGACAATCCGCAAATGAAAATTAACAGTTAAAAGAAACAAAAACTTTGATATCCAGTTCATACTTGATCAGACAAAGCTTTCAATGGTACAGTTATAAATGGGACATTGTCATCTTTAATTTAAATGAAGGGTCACTTGAAATTACCCTTAAAGAGACCGTAGATATAAACCAGAGATAAGACAGTTACAGAGATCGATTAACACCAATTATTTGCGATATTTTCCACAGCATGTTCTATTGTGAACAATTACTATACACGACCAATCAGGAGACATCTGTATTGAGGAATATTTAAGGATCCTTTGAATAGGAAATGCAAATTCTTTAAAAGTAGAAAATATTCATAAACATTATGTTTTATGTTTAAAATTGGAGTATTTCTTTAAAAGTTGTCAAAATTAACCCCTGAATGCAACACGTGGCCGTGAGATGTCAGTCAAAAAACATTACATGGATCCGTAGCATGGCGTTCCGGGACACTATAGGCCTGCTCAGCCTATCCAGGTAGAGTGTATGAGCAGTCTGTGTAGTCTGTGATATAAACCATCAATGTCCAACTCCTTCATATTAACAAGAATGAGGAAGCTATCGTCGTTTTCTATCTTAAAGTGTTAAATTCTGTAAATTAGGTTCCATGTGACTGTTGCATAAAATCCGCAAGTCAGTTTTATAGAAATTCTAATCCTATATCTATGTAACGAGCGGGGGAGTGCAGAAGTAAACAAACGCCACCCAAACGTATTTTGCGGCATGCACGCTCCTCAATTGGTAATTAGGAATAAAAAACAAGTTAACATTAAACCGTTTATTTCTTAGAAATAAGACCATATTGACCTCTGTTAAAGGCCCTATGGTGTACAATATTGTTAAATCTTTCTTTATTGCTGCTCAGCTCAGTTTCGATTATAAATCTAAAAGTACACCACATAAAGTGCTAGAAAAAAATTACCAATCTTAGATCCAATTCGCCAATTTAATGACTGCATTCATAATTGGAGTTAAGATACTAAAAGGTCGGGCTGCCCGTTTACTAAATATGACCTCATCCCACCCAAATAATATCTATCTCCATTTAGAAGATATTTTCAAAAAACCTTTACAGTGTTTAGATTTTGTGTTTGCCTACTCGAGTTCAACATCTACAACAAAACTAATTACATGCATAGAAAGAACAAAAAATTTAGAAAAATTGGTCTCATCACACCCACCAGTGAAAATGAATTATTAAGTTCACTTATTATTTCTAATTGAGGAGTGCGCATGCGCAAAGGTTTAAAAACGTAATTTTATTTCTAGTGCTTCATGTGGCATATTTAAAGATTATTTTCGAAACTGAGGAGCAATAAAAAAAGCTTTAACAATATTGTACACCATAGGGCCATTAACAGTGGTCAATATGGTCTTACTCTTATTTCTAAGAAATAAACGATTTAATGTTACGCTTTTTTGTCTGATTACCTATTGAGGTGGTACAGATTACCAATTGAGGAGCGCGCATGCCGCAAAACACGTTTGGCTGGCGGTGATTACCCATTAAGGACTTCTTCACTCCCCCCCCCCCTCTGATGTAACCTAGTGTCTTATCCCTTAAATATTTCCCTTAATAAATTCTGCACAAATAAATACTTAAGTTTGAAATATATAAGGTTCACCATCATGTTCCAAAGAAATAAGGATTAGATGATATGAGTTGTATTAGCATCTAAAAGCATATATACAAAAAAAAAACTTAAAAGAGTGTAAGGTTGTTCCTTTACAACAGAAAAACACTAAATTAATCATTTCTTTTTCAACAGATTTTGCAAGGGTTAACAACCTGACTTTATGATTTTTATCGGTCTCCAATTTATTATCGTATTGTTTTTCTCTGTCGTAAATACTCAACCCAACATGGAACTTTTGCAGCTGCCCGAGTCTGCATAGCATACTGGCACCCGGAGTGAGGGTTAGGAATGTTGAAACCTCAAGTTTATGAGCAAAAAATATCCGTTTGATTAGAGTAGCTTAAAGTTAGAAAAATTATAAGGAACCTAGGTTTAAAGAAATGTCTGATTATAAGGGACTGTACACGCATAATTTCAAGTTACCTTTCATGCAAAGATGGCGATGTTTGATTCACAATGGTACTCTTTAAAGCTTTGTCTTATCAAGTATGAATAAGGTATGAATGTTCATTTTAAAAACTATTTATTTTCAACTGTGGTTTCTCTATAAAAGTGACTTGCGCATTTCTACTGTAAGAAAACATATCGGAATTATCAGAAGTGAAGACTTTCAACCCTCTAAAATAATGGATCAGATAAAAATTATAAAATTGTAAATTGGACATAGACATCTTAGAACTGAGGGTTACTTGAAATTACGCTTACAGTCCCCTTAATACATTTACTTTTTGTATTCTACAGATAAATAAAGTTCAAAACTATCCCTTTCTGAGTCCATTCTTAAAATTTTATAATGCTTTTCAATCCTTTTAGTTAACAACCTTATCATTCAAATCTAAATATAGCCAAAGTGAGACCCTAGAGTAAATACCCAATTAAATATTGCACTCGGAGCAAGAACCAGACCCAACACAACTTTTAAACTGGGTGATTTAAAAAGATTTTAGTCCCCCATAAAAACATGAAAAATTCAGTAAAAAATGATCTAGTATTACAGGTTTCATACTAAAAAATTGTTGGAAACCCCTTATTTTTGTTGTTTAAAATATATATAATACGGCTGAACAAATTAGGCTCAATTAACATATTAACATGTGCGACCCAACATCGCCCAAGGGCCACGGACGGTTTTTAACTAACAAAAATTCTTTATAGTATAAAATATTTGTTGAATATTATCATGTACCTTAAAGGGAGTGTCTGGCCAGACTTAGTAGTTAAGCTGAAAATGTTGTATTGTAAAGAAATGTTTAAGGATCTATTTGAGACCTGCGAGACGTTTTTACGGTAAACATTTGTTCTGCAAGAGCATAAATTCAATCTTTAAAACCCTCAAAGATTGCTCATTTTTGTGAAATAATTTTGAGAATCTTTTTTTTTGATTATTCAATGACGACCAAGAAAAATATCACAAAATTCTACAATAAGTTGTTGTTAATGAAAAGGTTGAAAAAAGAAAATTGAACTCTTAATAAATAATCTTATTTAGTAATTGCATTCTGTAATGTCTTATTACGCAGGAACATCTTCAGTAGATTTTCTGGGATTTTTATTGAAAAAACAACATTTTAATAAATCTGCAAACAAATTCACAAAGGAATTCTATGAAATGATTAAAAGAAATAATTAATTCTATTATTAATTTATTGACAAAATTCTACTGAGAAATGTGTTCCTGAACATCTAATAAGTTTCCTATTGATTTTTTTACATTTTTGTCGTATTTACATTTTAATTTTTAAAAAACCGATTCTCCATTCTCTATAAGGATTTTAAAGATTGAATTCGCGTGCTGTCTAACCAAATATGCAACGTTTCAACGTCTCATAGGTCTCAAATGAATCCTAAAGATTTCTCGACAATACTATATTCTCAGCTCAACTACCATGTCTAAAAACGTATACAATAATTGAAGATTAACTGTGCGCGGGCATAAGTTATAATACAGTGTTGAGTGGTTACCGAAATTAAGCGGACTGATTGTCATCTTTGTTAATATTTAACAAAGATAAGGATTTTGATGTTTTTAAAGATTTTTTATTCTCCAAAATACAGGATTTTCAACTATACCTTTTTTGATTGCATAATTTTGAGATTTTCGGGAAATGTATTAAGTCAGAAACAAGCATAGATGACTTTATTTTTAGTAGGTCACATGACATCACGTTCACAGTCCCTTTAAGTAGTTTTCATGTTTTGTCTCTTTAATCATGAGAGCTGATAAGGTTTGGCACTAAACTATAATGTAATCAGTAGAAATGAGTTAAACTCACCTTTTTGTCTTTCGCTGCATGGCCAGAACTTCAAATTCTTGAAAGAGGGGATATCTTCTACTTAAACTTAATCAATTTTATTCCTCTATTTTTCTTTGAATTAAAATTAAAGGTTTTTGGAAATTTATTGTTTACATATTTTTCTTTAGATCGAGACTAAAATAACTGGCCAGTAAATCAAATTGAATAGTAAGAAACTGATTGAACTAGTGAGCGCAGAGTAAAAGTTTACATTTTGAAATTTGACCGGATCGTTCTTGAATCTGAATGTTAAGATGTTGAGTCCGAGACAGAAGCAGTTGCTGAAGACGCATGTGAGAAGATATATTGCAGCTGCAGTAGGCCCTTTCCCTCCTTTAGGAGATATCTGGTTGAGAGTATTAAACTGATTCATCACAGCTGTCAAGGATAGTGTAACAAGACTGATTCTTGTAGGAGCTCCGTCAGGTTTGATGAGAAAAGATAAGTGAGCTGCAAGAACCAGGATTAAGGCAGGAAGATAGTAGAGAAGAAGAGCTTCAGTAGGACGATACTTTAAATAGATCTGAAATCCAATAGCAGAGTGGTAGGAGGAGTGGTCTCGATGAACTGCTGACGCTGACAGATTTTTTGGTAGTATAGGGTCGAACTGAACTTCATAATCACTTTCTAGTTGAAACTCCAGTTTATGAGCATTTACGATTTGACTCCAATTGGCTTGGAACATCAACTTTCCTGAATCGTAATCTGTACTTGTAATTACATAATCACATTTTATCTTGTTAAAAGGAAACAGGTTAAAATTCATCTCACAGTTGAACACAACAGTTGCTTCAGTTGATATAGAGATAATTGAACCAGTTCCATCTAAACTTGGAGTAGCAATTAGACCTGAATCATGTACCGGGAGAGAATGGGTAATATTTCTAAGATCTTGAACATGCCAATCAATTAGTCGAACCTCATCTCGGACTTGTTCGTCTATAGTTGTTGCCTTATTACTCAATGTTTCGACCCACCAATCTTTCCAATATAAGTTTGTAAAGACTTCCACAGTGACAGTTCTTTGGTCTAAATCCAAACCAAGGATTTGTCTCAGTTGGAGCTGAACGTTTACTTGAACTGGGATTACTTTTGGATCCAGGAGCGAGTAATTGATAGGTATGCAGACACTTCGAGAGCAATTCTTCTGGGAACTTGCTATTTCAGCTCCAATTGTCATATGGTTGAAGGAGCCAAACAAGAACAAGATCAATGTTTTCATTTTAGACCAAATTGTGTACACTTTACGTAATTTGCGGATTTTTGTCCAAACCAATTTGCGAATTTTACAATAATCTTAATTATTTTCATTTAATTGACTCAACGTTTTTATATTATATTGTTTTATCATTGAGGTACCATATTTTTCCCGTTATGATATTTTATCTTTTAAAGAAATGAGCCTTAAATTCTATAAATTTTGTTTTTTAACTTTTTTATTATTTTTATTAAAATAACTTTTTTGTATTCTTTCTGTTATTCTCAATTCTAAAACGGTGGTAGACGATAATATCAATATAATGAAGACGAATTTTTATTTTAAGTTAAGCAAGTTTCTTTTGAATTACAAGTAATTAAAGAGAAGCTTTTTAAATGACAGCTTCTCTTTGTTTCTATTTTTTGTGTATCCATGCTGTTTAATAGCTTAATATAAATCGAAGTCGAAAGTGGTCTTCATTGTATTGATAAAATCGCCTATCATATTCTAAACTTTGCAACATTAAAATTTTTATCTTTCACATTGTATTCAGTTCTTTTTTTCCTTTAACCTACTCCTTATTCTTGCTTTCTATCATTCTATCATCTGCTTAACTATTTTAATATCTAGCTTCCACAGATATCTTGACATCTATGAAAGTATTTCTTCAGATTTCCACTTTGATGCGTTTTACCTTGACAACTCGCTTCTACTTTTTGTACTCTTTAGTATGTACATTTAAAAACTGAATATTCTTATTTCTAGCTTCAATATTAAAGGAGTTATGTCCATATCTATTTATGTTTTTTTGCTTTAGAGCTTGCATGGTTTGGTTTGCAGAGCTTCATATTCCGTTCCCGGCCTTCTCTGAGATCTATTCTATTCCTGTTCTCTTTTTCCTTTCACCAGAGCTGAGTTGGAAACTTAAAATATTTCAAATATCAAAACCCAGTTTGGTAAATTTAGTCATTTGAAAACAGGCCTATAATTGCTTCAATATTTTCTTTAAAAATTTTGGAAAAATCCTGCTAAGGAAATTTTGTCAAATTTTGCAACCTGATGGTGTAAACCTGTTATAGTTTAAACTTAAATATTTTGATCCAACAGAATTCACAGTTTGTAAACGTTGGTTTGTAATGTTGTATTTGAGCAGGATATGCAATAATGCATCCCTTGTCAACACTGCAATCTAATCCGTGTAATTTAAACTATTTCAAGTCAGGGAGGGAGGGAGGGGGGGGGGCATATCAGATCAACTGACAACTTGGAGTTTTTAAAGAGTGAACAGGACAGTATTTAATACAAAATATTTAATTAATTTCTATAGGCCATGAGCTGAAAACTTTAGAATGTGATATTCATAACCCCAATTACTTAATGAGATATCTCCATTACTTAATCTGAGTATCCAATGGACACACTTTTGATTTTCTTCTTAAACCGTTCTTTCTTGGATATAGTAGAGAAAAATCAAAAACCGTTTTTTTTTAATTTAGAGAGTCCCTCCCGTTTCTGTATATATATATAATCTTAAATGGCGCGCAAAATTCAAATTTTTCGGCTTCATATATGCGACTCTGATTGGTTGAATTTTATACCCTTTTCAGGATACAAGTACAAGATTAGGTTAGTCTCGATATTAAGAAAAAGAGAGGATCAAGCATTAATCTCAATATCCACCATTCTAAAGTTTTCAGCTCTGGTAAATTAAAATCAGTGAACCCTCACCTTATAATCTCTTTTTCACCCATTAAATATTGTTAAACTCTTTGATTCTAGTTTATTTCTATAGTCTGAGCAGGGAACTTTTCTCTTGGATATTCCCGACAGTTTGATCTCGATATCCACTATGGGCACTTTTAATTTGAGGATTAATGTTTCATCTCTTCATTTCAGTAAATCTTTTAAGTCAGGGAACAGAACAGTGTGTGCCGCTTGGGCTCGTAGTTTACCAACATTTGAAAAGTTCAAGTTATTAGCATTAAAAATTATTCTTCAGATCGCAAACAAATTTAAAAAGTTTTTTATAGGTCGTTCTTGATATCTCCTAGCAACCCTAACATACACTGTGCACTCTAGTTTCAGTAGAAGTAAATATTTGCATTTTCTGTTATAGCGCCGATATAAGGATTTATCTCTAATTGAATAATGAGCCATGCAATTTCTATTGGTTTAGAATAGACACCAAAAACCAAACACATGGCTGAATCCTGATTGAATCAGGCGCTAATGGACTCGGCATACTAGACAAAAACGGGAGTTAGGTGACTTTACTGAAACTTCACTGATAATGACGATGACAAAATTCACATTAAATAAATTATCAATTTTATAAATCTAGACAAGCCAACGAATTGAATTGGAATAAATAAAAAAAAACTAATTTAAATCTCAAGCAATTTTCAAAGCCCAAAGTTTTTCAAAAATCCCGAAAATAAAGAAGTTTTGTGTTAATTATCATTTCAGTATGTTACCTGTAGCCATAGACTAATAACAATACAGATAGAACACTAGATGTCTTCTTTTCAAGATTTAGGGGTGTTTCGTTCACAATAATACTGAGGCAGAAGCCCATAGGAGTTATGCGCATACTCTCTTTTGTCTTGTAATTCAACGGGCCATACGCTTAATCCTTTGGTTTTGCTTCAGGGTTATTGTGAACGAAAGACCCTTAACTCTTGAAAAGACGGCATCTGGTGTTCTATCTGTATTGTTATTAATCTATGCCAGTACCATACAAAACACATGTGGAACATGCGGAATGATTCTTTTAATTCATTGTTAGCTCTCAAAATTTGGATCGAAAAATCTGTTAAAAGAAATAACTAACGAATCGATAGCATTTCGAAGTTCTGAACATTTTGAAAGAATGAGAAAACATATAATCATGTATAACAAAATTTAAGACATATTTCTCAACCATGTTTTTGAACTCTGAGCTAAAAAATTGTGAGATATCTCTAACACTTGCTCTCCAACTATAACAAGACGTTCTAATATTAAATGATTTCAAGATATTCGATTTACGAAAAAAAAATGTATGGTTTCTTCATCATAACAGTTTTAACTTTATCTAATAAGGGGTGTGTGAGCTTGGTTCTCTGGTTTATGCTCTGAGTCCACTTTAATATGCATCAAGTTGTATTTTTCATAAAGGTCAGCTTTTAAACCATAAATGCTAGGAACGAATAGGTTGAATTGGGGTTGAATCAAGGAGTATGGAACACCATGTTGAATTGGGGTTGAATCAAGGAGTATGGAACACTATGTAGAAGGAGTCTACCCACTCCACCTCATACCCTTGTTTTAATGTAAGTATAGAACTTTGCCACTAATATACATCTGATCTCTAATATATAATCTATTTATCTTATATATCTAAAGCTGTAATCTCTGTTTGTCTGTTTGTTTGTTTGTCCGATCATAACTTAGGAACCCCTCTTGACCGATTTGTCTCAAATTTTGATTGGAGAACTCGGTAGGACCACGGAAATGTTCTTATCTTTTCTTGAGATGCTAAATTGAGTGGGTCGTCTTTTATCGGGAAAAATATCTGACGTTTTAATTTTTGACTAAGCACAGGTAACTAACTATGACTACCCTGGAAATCGAAACAAAGGGTCTAGCTCGATCATCATTTGATTACACATGATTAGCGGACTGGTACTTCATTTTGACAACCTTTAAAAATATTCTTTTCCAAATGAACCAGTCAGCAAAGCATTAATAATAATTTTATAGATTAATAACAACATCTATGAATCATTTGATGAGGCGGAACCCCCCAACTCCTTCTCCCTGGTATTCCATACTCCTTGGGTTGAATAATAAACACTGTACAGGGTCATCTCCTTCTCCCTGGTATTCCATACTCCTTGGGTTGAATAATGAACACTGTACAGAGAGTGCCTCACTGAACACGACAGTTGAGAGACGAAACAAGTCGTCTTTTGATTTTAATATCAATATATTAAAGTGTGTGTGTCAAAGAAAGCTCTACATATTCTACATGTATCATAAAAATGAAGTTTTATTTAATAATGGAAGCTTTAAAGAAGTTCTATATATCTTTGACACCAAAAAAATCGGGCCGAATTTTAGAAATGCCAGGACTTGTATTATCTAGTGATAATTTCAAGCATAAAAATTGTAGAGGGTAGAATCTTTGCCAGAAACTCAAATTTTCTAATCCCTATATCTATGCAGCCTGATGTTGTAGATCTTTGATATTTTAAACTTGTTGTAACATAATTCAAAGTTTAAAAACTAAATTCCTACAGGTTAGCACGAAAATTATTTCAAATATCAACGACGACCTTAAATCGTATCTCAACTGTCATATTTTGTGGGACGCCCTGTAGGTGTAATAAAACCTTGTCTGACAGACCTATATTCTCTAGCATGATCCTGGAGCAAGGATGTGGGGGGTCACTGATCTGTCTACAATATATTTTAACCATTTTCCTCAACCCGTATCTCGTATAGTGTGTCAAAATAAAATTATGCCACGAAAGAAAATAATAAATATGAAAACGTGTCATGTAACTTGTTAAAAATTAAAGATATCATTGATTTAATTTTTCAATTTAAGTTTTATCCACGTTTATTGGGACCCTCGGTATATCGGACTGAAGAGTAAGAATTGTATTGTGTAAGTTGATTTATCACGTAAATATCGAAGATCGCAAACTTATAAAATTATGCTCCGAGTTACATCAATGTTATGTAATCAGTAATATATATATATATATATACATCATATACTTATATATGTACTGTGGAACCGTTATCACGTCTCTCACGCGGCCAACACAAGGCGTGGTGTTGGGACCACGCCCTGATTCTTCCACCACCTGATTCTGCCGTGTTTCCCTAATCCTTTTAATACCCGGAGACAAGGTCAGTCCTGAACCTAGACTACCGGCAGTTCAAGGAGGGACCTGGAGCACGGTTTAACACAACCCTGTAGGACGGATATCATC